AGGTTAGGTCCAAATTGCCAGAGTTAAGGAGAGAGACGGTCGGGGTGCCAGGCGAAGAGGTGCGAGAGCGGGATTGGTCAAGTAAATTAAAGGGCAAAGCTTATGCAGATCTCAAGAGAGGTGCCACGCCCAAGAGCATACGTGTTGGTGACACAGTACTTTTGAAAGCCGAGAAAACGAACAAGCTGTCTACCAACTTCAACCCTGCTCCTTTTAAGGTGGTTCAGAGGACAGGAACAGAGGTAACGCTTAGGAGCGAAGCTGGTGTGCAAGTGAAAAGGAACACTGCGTTCGTGAAGAAGTACAACGATGGTGTATCCAATGGCAACGGAGACCAAGTGGTAGAAGCAAGTTCTACAGTACAGACAGATGAGCCAGGGCCAAGCAGAGTTCCGGAGACGACAGAGGTATCAGGGCCAAGCGGAATTCCAGGGACTACAGGAGTATCTGAAAATTCCCAAGTACAAGCTGGACATTCTACCGAAAAGGAAGATAACGCAGCGGAAAGGCCTGTGCGGAGGTCGACCCGAACTATAAGACAGCCTGCGCGCTATAAAGACTTTGTCCTGGATGTTTAGGACTTCTTCTTTTTTTGTCTAGTTTAATTCAAAGACTTTGTTTTGCTGAACATTTAGGGTTTTTGCAGCCTTTTAAAACTGCCTTCCTGCTAAATTTGATCAAAGAAGGGAATGTAGTGTATACGATGCTAATGCAAGCGCGTAGAAGCGAGAGAATGAATGTGATGTAGTACACACGGGAATTATGTAATTTGCATGTACTATAGATAGCGTGTGTTGTAATTTATTCGAGTCAGTTAGCGTTCTGAGTTCGGAGTGTAACGGTCGTGAATAAAGTGTGTTTTAACCTAACCGCGGTACTACAGTAACGATCCGCCATTTTTAGCCGCTTGGCCCATGGACTACTTAAAATCATCTCGGGATGAAATAAGCCGTTCTTTTGAAAAATTTTAACATTTGATAGATCATACTTTTTATAAAGTATTCCACGTGTAATATTATTTAACGCATACAAATGTCAACAGTCAATTTAAAAATAATCTTTCTGAAAAAGCAAAAGCAGACACGCAAACGCCCAACTCAAGGCTGGGGCGCCACATTCATTTATAACAGAAATGACCGTTTTCACACTAGAGCCGGATTATTCGGGTGAGACGGGTTATCCGTTTGATAATTCGCGTCAGATAGGTAATACGTCTTAATTTGAAAATGGAATGGTTTTAATTTTGAATCAGAACAATCCGCCTGGCTTTCTCCGTCAATTTTGACGGACAATTTAATTGAAGATGGATTATCCCATTTCAGATAACCTGTGTACAGCCGCCCCCCTCCCCTCAAAAGGAGGAAGGGAGAAGGAGTGTCTGTGGGGGAGCGGGTGACTGTACACAGGCTAGTCTCAGATGGATAATCCATTTCTAGCTGTAGTGTGAAAACGGCCAATGTAAAACAATTTCCGTGTCCAGTGTTTTTAATGATAGCGAAGGGCTGTACAGAACGACTGTCTGCCGTTGCCTTGTCCGTAGGCTTCATTATCCCGCGCGGCTGATGCGTTTCGGGTCTCGTGGTCCGAGCGAGTTTTTTTCTCAGATACGCCACCGAAATGCCTTGACGGAGATTGCATGGGAAGACGCCGTAGCGTCAGAAAAAAACAGGGAATCGTTACATGGAATTGTTGTTTATCGGCGACGTGTTTTACAAACAGTGACATCTCTGCGTGTTGTTAGTATATTCGAGGGCACGACCTCCTGAAAATCTCAAATATTAATCCCCAGCAAGAAGCCAGATTTTCGCTATGGAAAAAAATTAGTTCCCCGAGAGAGCGGCGGCGAAAATGGAGCCTAGGTCTAGGTCAACACCTAAAAGCTAGGCGCTTGGCCTAACGTGCGTACGCAGTCAAAGTAGCCGGGAAATAAAAACGCAATCATAAGTGAGTTTAGCACCTTCCTTAAAACTAACAAATCTAGGAAACAATTTCTTTTACGGTTAACTCTTTCTTACCCTATTTACGGCTAACCGTTAAAATTTTTCAATTTTTACGGCTATCGACTAAATTTTTGGCCGTTTTACGCCTATCGGTTAACCCCATTGAGACACTCTGAATACCACAGTTTATTCCACTCGATTGCGCGAAATCTAGTCAACATTATTTCCTTCCCGTTTGCACAGGACAACGTTCCTAACTCTTGCCAGTGTAAAAGCACTTTCTCTACGAAAGCAGCAAGAAAAAGGACTGGATGTCTTTGCAAAACAGCCGGTCGCTACTGAGGAGAGGCCTGTTCGTGCAGTCGACGTAAGCCGTGCAAGAACAGAGAGGTGGGGAAACAAAGGTCGGTTGAGGTCTAAAATTAGCTAGTAGGAAGTACTAGTACAGTTTGCAATTTCTTTTTTATCATGTGAAGGCTGCATCCGTGGCATCCCAAGGATGGGGATTTGTGCAAGGACCGCCAGGCCAACCGGATAATGGTCTTACGGAGGAGCAAGAACGAGACATGGAAAATCGACGAGTGAAGGTACAATACCGTATTATAATTCATAGTGGATGGCACAAAAGATAGTCCTTCAAAAATCTCATCTGCTATTCCTTTAACTAGTAAGTTTCCCTTGTACAAGTTGTTGATTGTTGCTTCCCCTAAATGGGGCAAATTGTCTTTTGTTTTAGTGTCTCGTTTGTGTTTCATGTTCTGCAGTGTGCAAGATTTCTTAGGGAAGTCCCCTTTTTACCAGTTATTTTATCGCCGATTACGCTCTTAAAAAAAACTACGTGTCAAGGTTCGACAGAATGTGATAAAAAGTAATTGTCCAGCTATGCTAACAAATCATTGCACTATTTTTCAACCTCACAGGATCTTTATCCAAACCCTGGATGAGGAGCTACCAAAAAACTTGCTACAAGAGCTCTACAGAGGGGAGTGGGCAGCATGGACTACATAGATATGCTTCTTATCCAGGAGGACCCAGAAGATGAGAATGATGGTAGCTGATGGTGCCACTCCCCCATCTGCCCTTTCTCTATCCCCCCAGAAGTATCAAGTCCAGCACCACCGAACCCCGCCCAACCTACACCTGCATCCACCCCAGCCTCAGACTTGAGCATATCTGGAACATCGACTTCAGGTGGGCCCTCATCGTTCAGGCCACCACCAACAGCATCTCTGGCAAGGTCAAGTGAACCAGTGCCTGAGTGGTGCAAATGTGGACATTGCCAGAGAATGTCACAGGAGGTCGAGAACCCGTGCTGTAATTCTCGAGACTGTGTCTCACTTAGTGCACCGCTTTCGCAAGCTATGCCTGAACCCTGATAATTTGCCAGTAAGTATAAAGTGTTCAGGCGATATCAGGAATGACCGTCAAGATAATAGCAGCAGGGCCTTCCGAAAGGCTGCCTATCGTCATTATATAATTGAAGAATATGGCTACCTTGGAAAACACAAAAGAAGGGTATGCCCTTCATGCTGTGTATGGAAAATTCGAGAGCACTACCCTTCCTCAACTGGGGTGTATATGGGGTTCAAACCTCGCTAAAATGAAAATAACTTCTTGATAGGTTTCTACAAAGAATTTTTAAATGCAGTTGGTTTGTTCAACCTCATGCCATGCCCCCCTCCCACCCCCCAAAAAAGTTGTCCTGGATTTAGTACCCCTGTGAATATTGCCCCATGAAAACAATAGCATTACCAGCTGTATTTGTATTGTGGCAGTGCAAGCAAATTATAATAATAAGGAGAATAGGCCACTTGCACTAAGAGGTCACGTGACCAATGCTTCCTTTAAACAGTGAGTTGGAATCTTGCTGATGCCAAAAATTGACAGAGCACATAAAAATTATCTTACACCCGAAATTTAAGGGAGATATTTTATGGCACTTTGATTTTTCAGCAAAGTAGTATGATTTGTATTGGCCGCCATGTTGGAGGGCATACTCTTGCCCTCCAACATGGCGGCCAAAACTACTTTTTGCTTATATCTTGTTAAACGTGTGATTGTTACGCTCAGATGTGCTGCAAAGGGTACCACATCATCTTTTCGACATTTTCCTTGCAGTTTAAGTGCAAAATTTTGTGTTCAGAAAGAGGTAATCCATAATATTAAAAATCAAATTTTGGTCACGTGACCAGCTACGAACTTACTCATTTTAAGAAAATGGTGTGGGTTTGAGAAACCAAATCACTCTTATTTTGTTTAAGATATGACCCCCTAATCGTTTTTCGAAGGCAAAATCATGTAACTTTCATTTTCATAAAAATGATGTCACATGACCTCTTAGTGCAAATGGCCTATTCTTGGGTTGCACGTGACGTCACCAAAAATCAAACTAAGAAACTATTGATTCTTCTGAGTTTCTACTTTCACAAGGTATTACAGTACCTAAACACCTTTACATCAACAAATTTTTGGTTCGAAAGGGTTCTTCGTTTTGCGAGAGAGGACGCTTGAATTTCCAGGCTCTTGCGTGACGCGGCATTTAGCTAGCGGCCGGGAAAGCTCTTATGTGGGTTAAAAACATTACCGATTTTGGAAGATTTTGCAATCTAAACATTCCTTGTCTCAGAATAAATATTTCTGTAATCTTTATGAGTTCCGCAAGCGAAGAGTTCACGCATTAGTAGGAAAACTCGAAAACAGATGTTTCTGTTGGTATCCGGCGGCCACATTGGTGTTCCTGAAAGGGACACCAACATGGCGTTTCCAGACAAAGCTTTATAAATTTAGGTAAACCGTTTTTCCCAATATCTCGCATTTGAAATATTTCACAGACCTGATTCTTGGCAAGGGTTTTTGTATTTTTATCTTTTTTCATTTCCCAGATTCTAGTCCTTCTGTATTGAATGGTTTGCATTTTTATTTTTCATTGCGTGACAGTGCAAGCCGAGAATTAGACTCACAAGAACTGATTCCAAGGGTTAGTTCAATAAGGACCAATCTACTCTGGTATTTACATTTACTAACCAATCCTTTGTCTTGGGTTAACTTTTGCATTATTTTGTTCCATATATTGTGCATTAAAATTATTAAACAATTCTCATAGGTTATATTTATTGTCCAAAACATCACTGTTGCTTATTGTCCGTCATACATGACAATCCTTCTTTGATGAATATTTTCTTACACTGCACATGAATACACAAATGTTCCATATTATTTTGTTCCATATTTTACATCATTCATGAATGTTTCCTAGTTTTTCTTAAACCTGCTGCTGTGCTGAATAAAGAGCTCACATGAAGGTGGGGGTGGCACCACAGCAATTATTGGAGGGGCTATCCTCCTTGGATCATCTCTGCATATTTTCATTATCCTCCACACGTAGGCGAAACACTTTAGCCAGAAGCATCCAAATATAACCATAGTCTTTGGCCTGCTTTACAATTTTCCTTCTCTTTGTTCTTTGGTTGTACTTCCGGGTCACGGCAACCTCGCCTAGCACATCTTCTTGTTCAGGAATATCGAGGTGATAGTTCCAGTCAATAGCAGGTAGTTGTTTTCTTGCTTTGTAGACTTTCTTCCTAAAAAGAACAAATTATTGATCAAAATAGACAGTGTTTCATGAGATCTTTGTTCACACAGTGCAAATTTTTGAAGTACACAACAATTTGAGCTCCCCTTCTCTATAGGCTACAGATAATATAAATTCGAAAAACAGTAAACTGAACCTAATGGGATATAATATATATACATATAATATATATATATATATCTGTCTGGATTTGCAAAAACATGGCTACAGATATCTCTCTTATATACCCTCTGACTGAGTCTTGTAGTGAAGTATGTTTTTTTTTCATAGTTTAATACTTTTTATTTATTTAATCAGTACCGAATAGGCCACAGTAGATACACTTTGATGAGTTTCTCACTGGCTATTAACTTATTACCCCCCTCCCCCAAAACAAAATGTTTTTCATAACTTCCCATAATTCTCTCTGTGTGTCAGTTTGAAATCAGTGCGCGTATTAGACTGAACTTAATTGGCTCTCATAGTGGGTTGTCTTACAAAGTTTTTTTGGCTGCCTTGGCAAAGTTTTCCAGAAGGCATCATTAAGCCTTATGAAGGAACAATTCTCACGTCTGGCAAAGTCTGCTGCGTCAAATATCTTCTGGTATTTCGTCTCATTTCGGGCTACTTGGGTGAAAGACTGATCCCCGGCTTGAGACGGAAAGATTGGATATTGCGAGCTTTGTTGTTGGAAGTAACAAGTCTTTGGCCTCACAAAGTAGGTTCTAGGGTTGAAATCTATTCGACAAGATGGAAAATCATGCTGGTTTCTGACCAGGCCAAAGACTTAGAAAAAAATTGTGTGCAAGGTGGGGGCTGTATGTCTCCTTTTCAACCGCTGGTTTACATCCGGGATCTTGAATAAATCGACTGTCAGTGAGTCGAGAAAAGTACCATGTGACGCTTTATGTGGAGAAAGCGAGAGTTTTACGGAGTAATTTGATGATGTTTCGCCCGTGTTAAGTGTGGAAGTATTATGAGTGATTTTCGGAAGTGCTGTGATTGCCGCAAAAGTCATTTATTGTGTGATTCACCGAAAGTGTTGACAGACAAATCTCAGGTATGTGTGGTTGAGCTCGTGTTACCAGAATACTTTGTGCCAGGCATAAAAATGCTTGGGGAGACTGGGGCGACCATGTGCGAGTGAAGACGGATGTTTCACTCCCGTGAACTTTTTGTCCTTTCTTAAAAATTTGTAGTCCTTAAACCTAGTCTATGGCTCAAAGTTGTAAACGGAAAACGAAGGCAAGTGTTAGTATCAGCTCTGATAGCGATATTTGCTCTCCAGAAGGAAAAAAGGCTTGCAACAGTCCTCGTTCGGAACCGAACATTGGCGTAGTATGACAGAAAAAATCGCGACACAATTGGAACGGATCTTCGAAATGCTCGCAGGAGTTTGTGCGTTTTGTGTGTATTGTCTACCTACGTGCTGTGTGTTTTTGCACCTCAGTTGCCACCTCTTTTCAATTTTTTGTACCACTGCGGTGAAAATTATTTGTATGCGCATAATTTATTTTTTCTTCCTGATCCCATTCATGAAAGAACTTTTTGATTTTAAATTACTTTCTCTTAATGTGCGAGGGGTTCGAGCCGCCACGAAAAGGAAAGCCCTTTTTACCTGGCTAAATGAACGGAGGTATGATATTATCTTCCTTCAAGAGACCTATAGCACTGTTGACGTTGAAGACATTTGGAGAACACAATGGAGAGGTAAGCTCTTTTTTGCTCACGGCTCTAATCATAGTTGTGGAGTGATGATTCTAGTGAGAAGTGACTTAGATTTTAATCCAAGAACTATTAGTTGTGATGACGAGGGCCGCTCCATTATAATTGAAGCTGAGGTCCAAGGTTCGCCATTTTTGTTTGTAAATATTTATGCTCCAAACAAGGTTCAAGACCAATGCCGTTTTTTTGATAAGTTAAACAAAAATATTGAAGACCGCGTCGTTAATGAAGAGCTTAGAATTATTCTCGGGGGAGACTTTAATGTAACACTCGACTCTGATCTTGACTGTTCCGGTGGTAGACCTTTCAGAAAAGATTCTGTAAAACACATACAAGACTTATGCCTGGATTTTGATTTGGTTGACATTTGGCGCATACGAAATCCGGACTCTAAACGCTTTACGTGGCGTCAAAGAAATCCTTTCATTCAAAGAAGACTTGATTATTGGCTGATTAGCGATGTATGCCAAGACGACATTGAGAAGTCCGATATCATTCCTTCGATAAATTCAGACCATTCGGCAATTTTTCTCCATCTTAATAGCATAGACAAACCAAAACACGGCCCCTCTTTCTGGAAGTTTAATGCTAGTCTTGTAAATGACGACGACTTTGTTGCACTGATAAATGAAAGTATGCCTTTGTGGTTAGAGGAGTTCAAAGGCGTTATAGATAAAAGGCTGTTGTGGGATTTAATTAAGTACAGGATTAGACAAATTACAATAAAGTATAGCAAAGAAAAAGCACGTGAAAGGAGAAGAAAGATCTCTGATATTGAGGCTTCTTTGAAGATTTCGGAAGAGAGATGCGGTAGTTCACCAACTCCTGAGAACCAGGAAGAGTTTGAATTGTTAAAAATGGAATATGATTCTATCTATGAGCAGATAGCAAAAGGTGCTATAATCCGATCGAAAGCCACTTGGTATGAAAAAGGAGAAAAAAGCAATAAGTTCTTTTTAAACCTTGAAACACATAAGAAAGCTAAGAGTTCTGTCCGTAGGGTTTTTGACGATAATGGAGTTCTAATCACGGATCCTAAAAAAATATTGCAAGAAATTCAAAATTTTTATTCTAATCTTTGTGAGCGTGACCCTCTTAGCCCATCTGAACACACGTTAAACTCTTTTTTAAACAATCCTGAAATGCCAAAACTCTCTGATACTGATGTTCAAATTTGCGAGGGAAAATTAACGGTTGAAGAGTGTTACAAAAGTCTTCAGCTGTTTGAAAGTAACAAGTCACCAGGCAATGACGGACTAACAGTCGAATTTTACAGGGCTTTTTGGGGCCTCTTAGGACAGCTATTAGTAGACAGCTTAAACTACTCTTATGATCATGGTGAGCTCTCAAACTCTCAGAAAGAAGCCATTATTACCCTAATAGAAAAGAAGGACAAAGACAAAAGGGACTTATCAAACTGGAGACCGATTTCGCTTATTAATGTCGATGTTAAAATCGGTTCAAAAGCCATTGCCAAGAGATTGGAGAATGTTTTACCAAACATCATACATTTCAATCAATCTGCATATGTAAAGGGTAGAACCATTTTCGACGCGGTTAGAACCATAGAGGACGTTATGGAATTCTCAAAGAGATACAGTATTGACGGAAGAATGGTTTGTATAGATTTTAAAAAAGCTTTTGACACAGTTAGTAGGGACTTCTTATTTCGAACGTTATCCGTTTTTGGTTTTGGACCATCTTTTATTCAATGGATCCACACTTTTTACAAGAATGTCTCGAGTTGTGTCTTAAATAATGGCTTTGCAACTTCATCCTTTGCAGTTGAAAGAGGAGTAAGACAGGGAGATCCTCTCTCTGCTTACTTATTTATTATAGCATTAGAAGTTTTATGTGTTAACATACGTAACAGTAATGACATTCGTGGTATTAAAGTCGATAAAGAAGAGATCAAATTAAGTCTTTTCGCAGATGACCTGACTGGGTTTTTAAAGGATGACCTCTCTCTAGCAAACCTTCTTAAACTTATAGAAGATTATGGAACTTGCTCTGGCCTAAAGGTTAACCACGAAAAGACAGAGCTTTTGTTACTGGGTAACCTGGCCTGTACCGTACAAGAAGCCACTCTGAACAACATAAAAATTAAACGATCAGCTAAAATCTTGGGAGTACATTTTACCTATGACATTCAAGCAAAACAAAAGCTAAACATCAATGAATTAATCAGCTCCATCCAACTTAAGCTACGAATCTGGAGGTGGAGGGATTTGACTATCATAGGGAGAATTCAAATTGTCAAAACCTTTATTATCCCTATCTTCTTATATCGCACGAGCTTGATATCATTGGATAAAGAATTTGTGAAAGAAGCGAACCAAAATTATCTTTGATTTTATATGGAAAGGAAAGGATAAAGTTAAACGCTCTGCACTTATCAGTGATATCGAAGATGGAGGACTTAAAGCCCCACATTTAAACTCCATAATTGAAACACAAAGAATACTTTGCTGCAAGAAATTGGCAAATGATCAACCGAGTGGATGGAAAATAATCCTTTTGCATTATCTGAAACCTGTTGGTGGTAAATTAGTCTTATGTTGCGACTTTGATTTGAAGAAATTGACTATCAAATTACCAGCCTTTTATGAAGAATGCTTAAAATCTTTTGCAAAGTGCTCTGCGGTAAATAATTTAAATATACAGGATTTAAATGGAAAAGACTTGTCAAAAGTTATCTTATGGAACAACAAATTTATTTGTGTTGGTGACAAGTCTGTGTGTTTTCGAAATCTCGCTGAGAAAGGGATCTTTCGAGTGGGTGATTTAATCTCGAATAAACATGAACTTGTAATCAAAAGCGAGTTGAGAGTCTTGAACCTTTCGCCGCTGGATGCTTTTAGGCTTGTCTCTTTAATAGACGCTCTACCAACTCAATGGCGTGAATCGTTGAAATCCTGCATCTATACAGGTGACACACCATTCAATTTGCGTGATGAGATTAAGTTACGCTTAAGTGGTCAAATTGTTTTACTTGAAAAAGCGTATTCGAAAATTGTCTATAAAGAACTTCGAAACAGAATCGTCACTCCACCAACTGCTAAACTAAAGTTTGATGTTAATTTTGTCAATGATACTTTGAACTGGAAAAAGATCTATAGCTTGCCATATCGTGTTGCCTTAGATACAAAGACTCGCGAATTTCAGTATAAATTATTAAACAGATGCCTTGTGACAAATACCTTCTTATGCAAAATTGGTATTATACCATCTCCAGCGTGCTCCTTGTGTGGTGAATCGGACGAATCCCTCGAACATCTCTTCCTGTCTTGTCATTATACTGAGAATTTCTGGTCTGAGGTTATAAAATGGCTTGTTGATCATAAGGTCAAGATTGAAAATCTTTCAGACAAAGATATACTGTTTGGTATTATTGGATGTGAGGATGAGATATTTGTGAATCATATTTTATTACTGGCAAAACAATATCTATACTCTTGTAGACAGAACAAATATCCTCCCTCCATCAGAGTTCTTCATTCCAAAATTAATACTGTCTTCTTAATAGAGACAATGATCGCTGAGTCAAACAATAAGTTGGAGACCCACAATATGAAATGGGGCAAATATAAAACTGATTAGCATACGATCTCTTCTCCGCTTACTTTATTTATTATTAATCTTTATTATTTATTTATTTTATTTTACTTTTTTTTTTCATGTAAACAGAAAAGAAGGTACTGGGTTTTTGTTTCGTTTGTTTTCTTTTTTGTAAGTATGTAATTGTGTGTTAGTCTGCGATGTATAATGTTTAGTTTTCCTTTCCGTTTTTTGTATCTTTTCTTTACGTGTTCCGTGTTCATAAGTCAGAATGTAAAAAAAATGTAAAAAATTTTAAAAAAAAAAATTCATTAAAATACAAAAAAAAAAAAAAAAAAAAATGCTTCGTGAGTGTTTAGTTTAGGTGATTTTGTCTTAGAAAGCCTATTCTGTGCTCAAAGATTGTGGATTCTTTATAATCTGTTTTTGGCCGACACTGAGGTGTGGGCCTCACGGTTTGACTGACTAAAAAAGATTACAATTTCTGGACGTTTCAAATGTTGTTTATTTCATCACAAAATCCTCTTACTTCTGAGAGAGAACTTTACCGCCTATTGCCAGCAATAATGTTGTCATTATTTAACTGCTTCCCATTCCACTTAGATGTCAAATAGTTAAAATGCACTTGAAATTTCTTTAGCCACGTTTTAACAAATCCAGACAGATATATAAAAAGAGGAAAAAAAGGCACCCTGCCTCAAGCTTCCAACCATCAACCATATTCTTTCAACATAAATTGCCAGGCTAGCTATTTGTTTGTCAGTAAAGGTCAGAACTACTGCTGCTGTAAACATAATTATTGTAACCTTTTAACTATGAAGTGTCGGTACTTACGTGTAGGAAATTCTCTTGCTGGCGTACATCAACGACAGAGAGTTGGCTCGTCCTAATGCACCTGTATGCCTAAAAGTAAAATAAATATTTTGAGAAACATGGTTAGACCTATCCCTTTAATCATCTTCCCTTTGAGGAAGATATTTCTTCAAAATATAATTTAAAATGTACATAGAAAGGCAATGAATTGAGCTTGACATAGAAAGGCATTTAGAGGCTGGCCAACACCTTAAGAAGGTTTTCACAAGGTCCAAAGTGGCAATAAAAAATAAACCCTTGCCTAAGCTTGACAACATTAATGTCACTGAGCTTAGTTTAATGAATGGGGCTGCTCGGAGTTATTGAAATGGTATTCATTAACACATTATTCTTTAAAGTTTCCTCCACACATTTCTTTTGCCACGGACCAACCAGACAGGAATACAAACCAAAATATTTTTTATTTGAAGACCATAACATTCATCCATTAACATTGTATTTGAATAAACCAACGTATTGAAATAAGAAATATATTTAGTCTTTCTTATGAAAACAGGGTTCCCCTCATATACCTGAATCTGATGTAGTACTTAAAACTTTCAAGAAGGTCAGGATCCAGGATAATTTTTTGTGGTGCCTCAAACTCTTTGGGTCTCCTGTCAAACCATGGAAGCTGGTGGGTTTCATCAGTGATTGGCTCATGGTCATCAGCCCTGCTCTCATGTTGATTGCACACATGGTGTAATAGTGAGATCCAGGTATTCTGTTTTTATAATAGTAAAATTTCATAGAAACGGATATAACAAGATGATAATGACATAGGGTCTGTTTACATAGAGGTGGGGAACCCCAGGTACGTGAGGTAACTCGCTTCGGTGGAGTATCCCTCTAATGTCCATATAATCTCTCATTTTAATTTGATCACAGTTTACTTATGATAGGTGGGGTGACCCACCACATTTTCCCTCACATATCTGAGGTCCCCCACCTCCATGTAAACAGACCCTGTTTACATGGAGGTAGGAGGGGGGGTTCATTTGGTTCCATTTTTCTTCTTTTTTCCTTTGAGGGTACCCGCGGGCCACATTCATAGTAGCTAGAGAAAATCCGCTGCCCATTGCCTCTTACTGACGGCCCTGTTATTAATTACTTTAAAAAAGATGATAAATTGGAATTACCTTCAATATCTTTTTGTTCTTTGTGACCACTGTCAATATAATATCAACTCTAACTCACATTTGACAGACACTTCCAGATTCCTTTTGACTTTGCCAGACATCAAGTGAGTGGAATATCGGTCTAAAAACATCAGCTACAATAAAAGGCAAATAGTTTAGTATGTTTACAAAATACAAAGTAAACTATTTGAGTTCATTGATAAGTAGAAAGCATTGAAAACCCACAGGCAAAAAGCATGAGTTGTAACTAACAGCAGAATTTGTTGGTAAAAATATGGAAATGACAACACAGCTAACACATTAGTGGTTTGGTTTAATTGATGAGAAAAAACTTGAAACAAAAAGCACGACCTAAAACATTTTCAAAGCTGGGTATGCTATGGTTTTGATACACAACTATTAATGACATCTATTGGCATAGTTCAACCACAAATTTCAAAGCCCCTGTATCTGAATATCATTGATTCCCTTTTCATCGCTATTCTTCCTCATAAGAGCTAGTTTTTGCCAGTAATCGTTTTGAAGGGCCTGCTTTTCCATTGTGACTGACTTCATGTCTGTCTCATGTTTGTTCAAGACCTCAAGCTCAATTATGTACGATGTTGTTACATCCATAGGGTAGTAACAAAGATTCTTTGCCGTGAATCCAGGGGAGTCACATTGACCATCGCCTGCGGCAACAAGCTCCTGATCCTTCAACTCCTCAAATATTTTTTCCTGTTGCCACTTCCACCATTCTGTTACAGCAGGAATCACATACAGCCTCTGCACCCTAAAGAAGGTGGACTTTGAAGGGAAAGAAAGGCCCAGGAACTTAGCCATCTTAGCTACTTTGATGAAACTGCAACTGGACAACAATATGGCAGCAGAGGTCAGGAGGTTATTGACGAGAACACCATCAGCTTTTCTAGACGACCAAAACCTGCCTTTATGCCTGAGAGGGCATGTCCATTTTACTAACACACAAAGAGTGTGATCAACCCTGGTTTGCTGCTGGCACCCAGGATGTTGGCATTTGTCTGCAAACACCTGCATTAGGAGGTCTAGAGCACATAAAACCTTACCCAGGTGGAAATCTTATTAAGATCTTAAAAAGATTCTTATTAAGATTCTTACCAAGATCTTAACAAGTATCTTATTAAGATTCTTGTAAGATCTTGTAAGATTCTTGTAAGAATCTTACAAGATCTTGTCAGAATATTGTAAGATCTTGTAAGAATCTTAACCAAGATCTTACAAGATAAGTTCCAAGATCTTACAAGAATCTTAACAAAGATCTTGTAAGATCTTAAAAGATCTTAATCAAGATTCTTGTAAGACCTTTTAAGATCTTACAAGAATCTTACCAAAACCTTACAAGATCTTGTAAGAATCTTGCAAGATCTTATAAGAATCTTATAACCAAGATCTTACAAGAATCTTAACAAAGATCTTGTAAGATCTTAATCAAGACTCTTGTAAGACCTTTTAAGATCTTACAAGAATCTGACCAAAACCTTACAAGATCTTGTAAGAATCTTGATTAATAATAAACTTGTAGAGATCTTGGTTTGAACTGTAACTAGAATCTTAACAACTTCTTTCGCAATGTTTTCAAGATTTTGTCTCTGAAGTTCTAGATTTTTCAAGAGCTTGGTCAAGATTCTAACACAATCTTGCAAGATGAAAAAAAGGTATTGTTGAGAGAGCTTTCAACTTTCTTGGTCAGGATTCTGGAATGTTTCCTTGACAAAAGATCAAGACCTGATTCTTTAAAAAGGAGTCCCCCACGTCAATTGCAAAGACTTTCTCAGTCAATCTCCATGTTTGGTGTTACATTTATTTGCCTCATTAATTAAAAATAGTGAATTCAAGAAAAAGTAACATTGCACTACTGAAACATATATATATATATGTATTTTTAAAAAAATTATTAAGTCAAGATACTGGATTTTGAAAAAAAAAGAATAGTTTCTTAATTTAACATTTTACTCATTGAAAGGTATGCCTGACAAAAAATCCTTCCACAAACCAAGCTATTTTTAATTCAAATGTACACATTTTTAATATACTCTAGTTCAGAAACAAAACAGAAAGGGCAGACTATTAGTTCAAGTCCAGTACGCAGCGTGCAAAGAAAGTCGTGTCCGATAGCCCGGGGCTAGTGGATTTTGCTATCGGGCTAGTGATTTTTGCTCTTAACTTGCTGGACGGGTAAGTGCTGTTATTCGGGGAAATTCAAATTGCAGAAGGACTATAATCAATCCTGCTTAACAAAAAGGGTTTGGGGCTAGTTAAAATGACATGTGGGCTAATACATGCTAGCTACAGCTTGCCTGAATGGCAGGCTGTAAAACTGACTTTCTTTGCACTCTGAGTATGACAAAGTACACCCCTGTAGCAAAAACACCATAATGTCATTTGTATCTTTCAATGAATTGGCATCGCGTAGTTTTAATTATCTTTTTAAATCATGCTATTTTACCAGTTACTTAAACAATGTTCAATAGGCCAAAACTGCCATTTGCACCAAGAGGTCATGTGACATTGTTTTTATGAAAATGAAAGTTATATGATTTTGCCTTGAAAACGATTAGTGGGTCATATCTTATATAAAATAATAGTTACTTGGTTTCTCAAAGCCGCACCATTTTCTTAAAATGATTACATGACCAAAATGCGATTTTTAAAATTATGAAGTATCCCTTTCTGAACACAAATTGTGCACTTAAACTTCAAGGAAAATATTGAAAATATGTGCCAAAGTTTACAGCACATCTGAGCATAACTATCACACATTTAACAAGATATAAGCTAAAAAGTAGTTTTGTCGCCATGTTGGAGGGCATACTTGCCCTCCAACATGCCGGTCAATACAAATCATACTACTTTGTGCCATAAATATCTCCCTTGAATGCGTTTCCTCTCAAATTTCAGTTCAGGCTGTTGTATGATAATTTTACGTGTTTCTGTCAATTTTTGGCATCAGCAAGATTCCAACTCATTGTTTAAAGGAAGCATTGGTCACGTGACATCTTAGTGCAAGTGGCCTATTCATTGGATTTGTCCATCTACATGTAATTTCCTCCACAAAAATCAAGGAAAAGAAGAGAAAAAACAAAACATTATAAGTTTTGTCAGTTTATAAATACTATGAAAGAAAATTGTGAATTACTATGTAGATTATCACAACTTTTTATAAAATGGACTCTAATCATTGCTAGTTGTTTTGTGACCTTACTATTGCAGCAATGATATTAAGATTACATGTACCAGAAGCTTACAACCTTATGCAACTTATACTATGAATTAAAGTTCAAATAAACAAACCTACAGGCTGTATTCTAATATTTTATATGTAAGTTCAAGTCTCAAGTCCTTATGAATTAACTGAAAATTTATTGCTTCTAACCTGTATAGTAGCCATTAGAAACTTTACTTATTATGCTATTTCTTCTCCTGTCTAACATTGGTCTTGACAAGTCTGCCATAACCTTGTAGCGCCAGAACATACAGTTTTCAGAGTATTCCATTGACTATTTGCAACAAAGAGTACAGTTATTTCGATCTGCAGTAAACAAAAAGCAGCAAAAAGGGATCTGATCAATGGCATATCTTTGCATGCATCTTTGAACTTTATAAGGATATTTACGCAAAGTTATTGGAAAACATACCTTTCCACATTAATCCAGCTGAGTAAACTCACTTGCAAACATGCTTTATGTGAACAGAAACTTCGCAATTGATCACTTTGTCTCGAAAATAACACGGATAATGGAAAGACGGTCTTACGAAAATACTTTGTTGCTTGTGAAGTCCGCGTGAATTTGAACTATTCAACGGAAGTTCATTTCACACTTTTCTATTTTTCTATTGGTTCAAAAGGCGCACGTGACAAAGTAAATCAAATCGCGCATGTCCCAAAGGCACACGTGGAGGCCTGGGAAACAAGAAAACATGGCGACTAATGCGATGTGCTCCCGTTTGGGTCTAAATAGCAGTTATTTTCAGCGTTAATTAAGATGAACCAACGCATTTGAAGTGTTGAGAGCAAGAGGTAAACTTAACGTTGTTCTTTTAAGTTGGGAAAGAAAATGTTGGACTACATTATCAATCAAAGAACTGCGACGAAAAACGTGTTGTGGCTGTTGTTCATGTTGGACAAAGCTCACAGGTTAGTGTATGGAAATCTGATCTAACCAAAGACACCTTGATCACATCATTCATTAGTTGAACGAACTCTACCAAAAGGAAGCTCAAAAAGCATGCAAAGCAAGGAACTGTTCGCATGTTCAAGTGGACTTTCGACCTACGAGGAACGGTAAATCCAAGGAACACATTGCAGTAAGAAACAGTTATAAAAATGGAAATGATCCTTGCAGTAAAATGGACATTATCTAAAAGGTTGAGCAAGTACCTGAAAAAATTAAAGGCTTGATCGGGAATCGAATCCTGACCTAGCTATGCGATTGATCGGATGCAATCGTTTAACCATTAAAATTATCAAGCCAGCTGGAGAGCTGGCCATGGTGAGCTAGTGTACCCAATGGTGGAAATGACATGAATGGAAATAATTGAACTTTCATGAAATGACAATTTTTTTTGGACATGTGGATATAGATATGAAAGTAGAAATGATCCTCACAGTTAAATAAATTACCCATGCAGATGAAAAAGAACCATACAGAAAATTCAGAATAGGAGGTACTTGTATATATTTCAGTTTATAAAATAACTCAGATAGTACGTGCGCTCTGATTAGCCGAGAGGCGTGTTTGCATGAGAATATGTAGGCATGGTTGTGACGTCAATATGTTTTGCTTTTTGCGCGCTAATCACGCAGGCAAGAATTTAAAAAAGGTTTTGAGTTGAAAAATAATTAGTCGACAAGTTTAGTTTATTTACCTATTTCCTCGTCGGCTGAAACTTGAAAAATCTTTAGAAACATGCTGTGTCAAGTTTTTTTTTGCTTGAGCTGACATTTTAAGTGAGAAAAGCATCTTATTTGGAAAACAAGGACTGATTAACTGTACAAGCTTCGAGTACAAGACTTCACGACTGGTAACAATTTCTCTTTTAATCAGTGCTCTAAACAACAGAGTTTTGCTATTTTTCTTGGGAAAGTTATTTCATAAAAGCACTAGAAAATATTTTTTCCTGTGTTTGCACTCGCAGGGCTGGGAGAATTCTTGACAGTTATGCAAACCCTCGACTGCGTCTTGGGTTTCAATAACTGTCTCGAATTCTCCCAACCCCTCTTATGTTTATATCAGGCTATGCAAACACAGAAAACGTTTTCTATTGCTTAAATGGTTTTTATATAATCTTTGCAGAATCGCTTCGTCGTCAAATATTGAAAATTAACTTTATATTACTTCATGTATCTATATATAAGTAATTCAGTGTTACTGCTATTGAAAAAAAAGTTTTTTATCTGAGTGGAAACAAGCAAGATTTGTGTTTTGCTAGAATGCCAAACTTTGTGGAAAGAGAGTAGTGGACTTGTTGTAGCCTTATGATCTATGTTTTTCCTTTTCTTGCACTAATTTCTTAAAACTCTGTATTTTCTATTTTTGGTATTGATCCTGTAAAAACATACCTTTCTTATTGTTGTTTCTAGTTCTTATTGCTGTCACTTGTAGAACATGGCCACGAATTCTTGGCTTTCCCGGCTTCTGGTTTTCTGGCCGGGAAAGCCATGAAATGCCAGCCTGTTTTTTAGCATGGCCAAAAAAGTCACGCTTCTATGGCCAGGCTTACCTCAAAACCCTGGCCTTGACCGGGCTTACCAGGCTTTTCCACGCCACGCTTTCCTGGCAAGCCCAGCCAAGACCTTGGCAGTGGCCGGGCTTGCTATGCGTTTGACCGCACTCCTGATGCAAGGGTTGTAAACATGTAATTTATAAACGAGGTTTTAAAAAATGAAAAACAGACACAGAAATTGGAACACACAAGATTCAAATGAAATTCAATAGGGTTTTTAATTTGCACTCAGGAGTTGCAATAAGCTAAATTCAGAGGGCAGCTGCTTTTATGAAGGAAACAATATTTTTTAAATCTGTGTTTAACTATACAGCTCTTGGGTTAAGCTTAATGGGGCTAGTATCCTAAACCCTCTCTGATCTGTTTATTGAGGGAATTAAACTGGAATTGACACTGTTCTCTCTCTCTTTTCAATGAAAGCCCAGGTAGTTTAGGCTAAGCCTGGTTCCAATCATTTTTTAAAATATCACAGGGTTAACAGTGGCTTATTTTCAGCCAATCGACCAGTATTCCGCCTTATGTAATTAAGATCTAGACTAAGATTGTATAATTATTTTTGAAAGTTGATCCTAGTAAGATCTTGACTTATTTCAAACTTTCATTTACAATAATAATAATATAAGTTTTCATTTAAAAGAGATGTTATTGAGGCTCATCCTTGGTGTGAGCTAGAAACTGCTACACTTGCAGATGATGTAAAACAAACTTTTAAGATAACTTTTAAGAAGACAACAAAATGAAATCTAGAAAAACGTAAATACAAAACAAAGAAAAAGTTCAAAGGTTACACCGACATAAACGCGTTATTAATAAATTTTTATGGTACGTTTTGCAACTTCAATTCTGATTATAGGATTTGTTCTTAATAAAATCGGCAACATGATTTAATACAACTCAATCTCTTTAAGAGGGCCATGCAGATCTGAGTTAGTTGAAAACTTAATTTTGGCACCTTTACTATTTAAGTTCTTGTTAAGTTCTTATTAAGTTTTTTTTTTAAATCTTAGAGTTTCTTACTAGGAAATTTTTATTAAGATTTTTACAGTAACTTAACAAGATCTTATTAAGATTTTATTAAGTTGCTATAAAAATCTTAGTAAAAATTTCCTAGTAAGAAACTCTAAGATCTTAATTAAGTTACTGTAAAAATCTTAGTAAAAATTTCCTAGTAAGAAACTCTAAGATCTTATTAAGATCTTATTAAGATCTTAATAAGATCTAGTAAGATCTTAAGGATGACAAAGACATTAAGATATTGACAAGATCTTATTAAGAAATCTTTTAAGATATGATATCTTAATAAGATCTTACAAGAACTTAATAAGATCTTAATCTTAATAAGCATCTTACAAGATTCTTACAAGATCTTACAAGATCTTACAAGATCTTAATAAGATTTCCACCTGGGTAGTGCCTTGTACCAGCTTTATTTCATCTGGATATTCCTTGTGGTCTTCCCAGCGACTAAATTTATTTTCTCGAGGAGGACCAACCACACATGGTATGGCTGGTACAGCTGTGGTCACTGGTCTTAACCTTCTTGAGCCTGCACCACTGGGTCCTCAGTCTGAGTGGATACTGACACTACTACAGGCTCTTTTGATGGCTGCTTGCCAATGTCATCATCATTACTTTCATCATCAAACACCTCAGATATTTCAAATTCAATGGCAGCATTCTCTTCCTGTGTCATGTCCATATCACATTCACTATCACTCTCCTCACTATAAGCAGAAACAATGAAAACCAATTAAAACCTTTCTTTATTGAATTTGATAAATAGTATTATTTATCACTGTCCACTAACTAAGAAACAAAATTCTCCAATTGCACAAGCCCTAAAAACTCAAGGTAGATTGCAGAAACTGTTTAAACTAATTCATGGCTGAGTTTTACATCCTTCACATAATGAATTTATCTTAGAGAAACTTACCCCCAATAATCTTCATCATTGTCATCACTTGAGCTGAAAGCCTCATCAGCATCGGCAACAAGCTTGCACAGAGCATCAGACAGTGCAGACACATTTCTGAAAAACAAGTCATTGCACGGCATATTTGTAAATGGAAAATTCAATTCAGATACCAGGCTAGTGACAAGAAAATTAATTGGTGGCCTATTTATAATTTGGTTCAAGCAATAAATTATTATTATACTGTTTTGCTGAATACAAGTGTGTAGCAATGACAAAAAAACATACTAAAACAACCACATAGTATTATTATAGTAGTAGTATTGTATTATTGGTTCAATGAAAACAAAACATAAGAGTGGCAATGATCATAACACCACCTTTCGCGATTATTGGGAAGATCAACGTGCTTTTTTTCAATACTTACAAGAAGCAGTCGTCATCTTCACTTACTGCAGATGACTCAGAGGTGGAAATTGAGGTGTAGCAGATCTGCAATAAACACCTCTCTAAAAGTACTGTTATTCCTTGCTCACAGAGGTTTTCCTGCAAAAAAATAAAGAAATAAAGAAAGAAACTAAAGGGAAATACCAAACTGAACTACTTGAAAGAAAAGTTACTAAAACTTTCTTACTTATCCATCATGATTTATTGAATGTTCAGAAATTCACTCAATGAAAACCTGACACATCTAAAATTTTTATCACAGGAAGAACTTCAAATTGCTCCTTCACCGTTATGTCCGCAACAGAAATGTGAAAATAGCAAAAACAAAATTGAAAATATTTGCAGCACCATGCAGGGAACAAAAGGTAAAAAATTCTGCTGGCTCATAAATGGGAGGTTGCTTGTTTTTTTCGGCAGTGGGGTAGGAGGGCCTCTTCAAGATTTTTAACCTCTTCTTTGAACTTTTCACCTTAAACAATGGAAAGTAAGCTTATATATATAAAAAAGTCTGAGGCGAGGGACAGAGTTCTCATTCATATTTTTCTGCCAATTTTAGGCCAAAAATATTCTTGTATTGTTCTTAAATTGTAGCCTCTAGAATGTACATGTACTGGGGTATAAAATTGCAGTTATGTTTGTAACTTAACCTTGCCAGTTATTTCTTGCTCTTGATGGCAAAGCTTAGCCACCAGGAAGAAACACAACGTGCCATTGCCATTAAATGGCAATGGTACGTTGTGTTTCTTCCTGGTGGCTAGCTTTGCCATCAAGAGCAAGAAATAACTTCAAGGTTAAGTTACAAACATATAATTTTATTGTATTGTATTAACAGATTTTCAACACACAAAATAATATCCTTTTCAGCCTTGGGTTTATTCTTGTCATATTCTTAAGATCTTGCAAATTTCAGTCTCGATATTCTTATAAAAATATAAATATATTCTTATAGAAAAAAAAGTGTAGTTTCTGGTACTGTTTCGTTTTGTTGTTTTTTCTGACTACATACAATCTGCGAGAAAATTTGTAAACCTACCAGTAACCTTGAGAAACTCATCATTCTGACGTGACGCTTGTAATTAGCGTTGGCTGCTCCGGCAATGTAGGCACTTCGTGTGGCTCTTTTTCTGTTAGTATTTAATAAGAGCCATCAGTTTACTCGACATTAAAGAACGAAGAATCAGAAAATCCTTCGGTAAGTTCGTAACCAGCCATAAATAGAAGGTAAAAAGGTTAAGTTCTTACATTGAGCTTATCTTACCTCCAGAAGTTGGACAGCGGCCACATCCGTGATAGACACTTCAGGGCATGACTCCTCGGCGACGGATAGACCCTTTTTCATTTTGTTGTAACATTTTTTACAGAGAGAATTTTCCCCCACCCAACAAATTTACTCTTCGAGCGGGTGGAGGCACAATTCTTGCACTTACTACGAAACATAAGCTAGTTACGGACAAAACATTGCTCGCTCGCCCTTGCTGGCAAAAGTGAAGAACAGTGCCAAAACGCGTCTTCCCGCCTTCAAAGCACCCACTGCTAGTTTCTTTCGCGCTATTCCGAAAGTTGAAGGCGGCTTTACATCTGCTAAATTTAAATAAAACTCTAGAACAAGTGATCAAGCAAAGAAAAATAGAACCCTTCCCTTCGGCGGCCATGTTTGTTTACGAGATTTCTGTCGCGGGCAAAGAACAAGAGTCTGGGTACCAGAGTCCAAATTGACCAATCATAAACAATCATACTCACGGCTCAGTGATCAGCTTGGTTCGCCTGGTTACCAATTTGTCAAGGCTAGGTTAAAATGCGCACGTTTTTTAAGCCGGGATGTATTTTTGCGATGGAGAATTCACTAGTAAAAGGAGAAGAGTTGTTTCCCTGGGTGGAGCTAGTAAGAAGGTGAGATTATGTTAATCTGTTTTCTACAGAAAGTTTCTACAATAATCTCAGGTTTATCGTCAGATTGGTCCAGAACGTACAATAGTCATGCAGAGGGTGTGTTGCGCTGTCTTCCAAAGTAGGCAACCCGTAATAATTATAATTTATATAACGATATTTATATATATATTTATATAATATATATTAAGACTGATCCTTTACTTTTATTGAGACACTCATGGAAGGGAATTGCTGTATGTGCTTTTGATGAAGGACCAGCAATTGGGATGTAATATTAGGCAGGGCCGAAGCAAGCCTTTTAGTAACCAAGGGGCATGAAGATTCCATCATCATCCTTTCATGGGTTTACAATGAACCATACCAGTTGGTTTGTTAGCTCAATTGGTAAGAGCGCTTCACCAGAATTGCAGAGGTCCAGGGTTCGAATCCCTTACAAGCCTGAATTTTTTTCAGGCTTTCTTTTCGCAACTGCAAAAGTTGTGTCTATAACTGCGATGATCAACTTTCATATAATTCTTCACCCCTCAGTTCACATATATGCTCATTGTACCTGGAAAGCAGAAGGTTTTGGGTCCAGAGGACCCATTGGACTGCTGTCTGTATCGTAAAACCAGAAAATGTTTCACCAAGCTACAGAGATATTATTGTTTCAATGCTCTGGAAGGTGAATTTTTATTTTCAACTTTTATGGGTGCATGTTTTGACTTTTTTGGGAAAAATATAACTGTGGGGTGGGGGCACCAGGGGAGCCTGCAATCCTAACCTCCAGGTTGCTATTATGCATGGGCAACACAAACGTAGCTAGCATTAGTTTGGACTTACACTAAGAATGGAGTGCATAGATCAACAAAATCTGTGGTCATGCTTGTTACAGCATTCAGAGCTAAAGCTATATAGCAAAAAAAAAAAAAAAAGGAAGTGGAAACAAGGATTCAAGGTCACACCTGGAAATCGAACTTGGGGCAGGGTGCAAAGAAAGTCACTTTAACAGCTTGCCACTCGGGCAAGCTGAAGCTAACATTTACTAGCCCAAACATCATCTCAACTAGCCCCAAAAACGTTTTGATGAGCAGATTGATTTCACAGTTCTTTTGTAAGTTGAATTCCTCAAAAAACTTCACTTGCCCGTCGGGCAAGTTAATAACAGAATTCACTAGCCCGATAGCAAAATCCACTAGCCCCGGGCTATCGCACACTACTTTCTTTGCACCCTGTTGGGGCCTCTCATTCAGAAGGCTACACACCAACAAACTGTGCCAGTCCTTAAATCCATAACACAAAAACTGTACATAATATTACACCTAAAATAAGGGAGAACTGTTTGGAAAAAAAGCTTTATTTTACCCTCTTTTAATACATTGGACTGCTAGATTCTCCTTGCAATGCCCAGTGTTTCCTGCTGAGACGAAGGAAGAAATTGATATAAGATCAAGAGATGCTTAGGGAAGTTATTCCTTAAATGCCTTCATTATTTTTCATTATAATATTATGCTTGTAAATCCTGCTAGGAACCACTGACATCCTTCATTCAAAGAACTCGGGCAGAAAGGCTAAAAAGAGAGGTAATTATGATTATTTTTATAATTTGTAATAATCAGAAAGTAAACACCACAGATGTTTTTTTTCTTGTGCATGTGTTGTATTTCCCATTGGCTGTTGCCATGCCTGGCAGGTTAACTGCGTTAGTTTTTGAAAAACCCGGTAAAAAAATTTTCAGAATGTAACCAAGTAAATTTTTTTCAGCTGCCGGACTCAATCTAGATATTCACAAAGTTAATCAATGTTACACAGTTTTGTCTTTTCACTTGCCTGGGTTGCTCATAACGTTTGCCTCAGAGTGACTGACAAAATTTGACCCCACATTACTGATAAAAAGGGGTCGACTTCTTAATAGTCTTAACTCAATTGTATTAAAGAGAGAAAAGCTGAACTTGGAGCTAAATATGTTATTTTTGAAACTGTTGTGCTTGCGTGCATGGTAAGTCAAATCATTATAAATGAATACTGAAAACTTAATTGTTTCTAACTTGTAGTAGACAGTGCATGCATATCAGAAGCTTACAAATGTATGTTATTTCTTCTCCTATTATATTTAACATTGGTCTTGACAAGTCCACCATAGGCTAGTAACACCAGAACAAATAATTTTCAGAGTATTCCACTGACGATTTAAAACAAAGAGTACAGTTATTCCTGCAGTAAACAAAAAGGAATCAATCAATCGTATATCTGTGCATCTAAAACTTTAAGATTTATCTATGAAGTTTTAAGGTGGCCCAAACCTATTTATAATTACGCATGTTGGTCATGTTTTTGAATGGCGTTTTTCAGCAGGAAAGATTTAACCAATTTCTATGATTTTTGGTATCTTTAATGAAGAATGATTGAACTTTAAGAAAGCATTATTGATTTTCTTGTAGATACAAAGGCGTTTGAGATATCGGCCTCTATTGAAAACCTTGTTTTCACAAAAAAATGTAAATAACTCCAAAATCCCACGACAGATTTTCCCGTACATTCAGCATAATAGCCCAGGGGTTTCAATAAAAATTGAAGTAGCCAGCAGATTTGAACGGATTAACTGACTGTATCAACAAGGGGCCGTTAGTCCCCTTTTTCTAGGGTGGAGGGGGTCTAAGCACATTCTTTCCCAAAAAATTTTGAAAATTTTAAGCCCTAAAATGTGATTTACAGCATTCTGGGGACTAAATTTGAGGGCAAAAGGGTGTGTTTTTCATTCAAGACAATGGGCGCGATCCATTCAACCAAAATTTCCGGAAATTTCGGTCCAAAAACTCAATGGATCGGTTTGGTCCAACCGGAAAAGTTTCGAAAAAATGGGTCCACCTTTTGAGGTGGTCCTCTTTTCCCGGTCGGACCGGTCTGAATTTTGGTTGAATGGATCGCGCCCAATGTAGCTTTCAATTTATTTCAATTTAAATTCTGTGTAAACCTATAAAGAAACTTGTGAAAAAATGACTAAAATATAGTGTGCACATGACTAAAGCAGAAAGAAAGCAGTGGGCCTTTATGAAAACATATCATAATTACATTTTCATTCAGATTTTATGATATATTTTTTGTTTACAACGTTACTCAAACTAGTTACTTCTTCTTTCTAGAAGAAGTGGCCGACCTCTAAGCACAAAGATGTAGACGTGTTTCATCGGCTGTTGAAACCCCTGATAGCCTCAGAGCTCTCTAGTTTTATATCTGCAAGTTTGGTGGCAATCTTGACCATAGAACTTGCTCCACAAAATGTTGGTCAAATTTAATGTTAAAATGATAGGCTAACACATTCGTGAAAGTAAACCCACAAATAGCGGAAAAGAGCTGACAAACTACTGCATCTCCTGTCTGAAAGGTTGTTCTTACCCAAAGCATTGTTGGAAGAAAATGCGCAGTCATACAACTACAGCAAACACAGTTAGCACTTTAATACAATCAACTTTCTGCTACACACACGTTGAAATGAAATATCTGTGGAAACCTCTTGGCAGTTTTTAGCTTCAAAGGTTCTTCTTCTGAGGTGAAATAAACCCACTAGTTTGAGAACACCTAGCCATCCAATGCAATGGAAACGCTTATGCAAAATAAAATATATTCAAGATCTCTGGCTTTACTTTCACATGCTCATGGGCAGTATGCCACATGGGGATAATGATTATTTACCTATGAAAATCTATTTCCTATTAAAAATGGTAATTTTTGGACATTCCAGCTTTGCACATTGTGTGTTTAAAGACGGTGATCATTGCAGTGCATTGCACAAGCCACAGTTTGTAAAACTAAATATTTAATCATGTTTTATAGACTTTGTTGTACGAGCAAAAAGAGGTTTTGTAACCTGATACAATCATGTGAAAAACTGTGTTCACCATAAGTGTCTGATTGCTCAGTTTCTTCCAACAATGTTTTGGGTAAGAACACCCTTCCACATAGGAGATAGTTTGTCAGCTCTCTTCCGCTGTTTGTACCTTTACCTTCACAAAAATGTTAGCAGGTATACAAAAACTGTATTGATACTGTACTAAATGTAAGACTTTTCGATTTGCCTTGCTGGCCAGGAATCTATTTACCCAGGAAAATGAAAGTAGAGCCTGATCTCAGTTTAGTGTAGGACGAGTTTTCAGCAAGATATGAGTGTTAGCAAAGTCTAGAAATCCATGTAAATTAGGTTTATCCAGGTTTCACTCCAGTGCACGGTTTTTATATTTTTACATGTTTCCAAGCATGTTATGTCACTTGTCACCTTAAAGATTCAATAGGCTTTAAACTCCAGTTGTAAACTGAAGCGTTTTCATTATTTTCTATTGGATATCAATGGTCTTTGGTCCTTGAACACGGCTTGAATATTAGATTTGAATAATAAGACTTTGTGCTGTCAGGATTACTTAATTTGTGTGATGCATTTACTGTTTCATTGTATCTTTGCCTGCGAATACAGCCTTCTCTGAGTGGGGGGGCAAGCTTATTTTTGTCACACTGTCATCGACCATTTTTGGTGTTCGTGAATCGTGATTTACTGAAAAACTGATCTGTTCCATGAAACCTGAACTGCCAAAATCCTTGATTGTTTACATGTACATTGCAGATCAATCAATCAATCAATCAAGCAAAATAAATTGTTAATTTGGCCAAATGACCATAACTCACTTCCAAGTCTTTGGATGTGACTTCACACTTCAGTGCACTCGGACGCACCTACAGCTGGCTTCCCTAGGGAATTTATAGCCGCGCAGTTTTTTCATAAGGTTCGTAAAACTCTAGTTAACTTTCAAAAATATAATCGAAGCACTTCGTTTTACAAATGGCACTAACAAAACATTTTTGACATTTTGTACGACCTCTACTTTTGAGAAGCATGAAAACGTAAACATTTGTTTCATGACCCGCGAAACGTAAAATTGTTGTTCATGAACTCATGATGAGACCCCCCCCCCTGCCCCCCTCTTCTCTCCTTGCTCCTCACCATTCGCACCATTCGCACCATTCGCGCTCCTCACCATTTGTACCTAAGAAACTTTGAATAAAATCGTTGAACTAAAAACAAGTATAGTTTACTGTCAGTGATTCCTTTTGTTGACACTGGAACTAAAAGGGCTTTCTCTGATTCACCTACACAATTATGAAAGTGGTTTTCATCAATCGCATCTCCAAGGTAAACCCATATGTTTGCCCGCACTTTCTAGCTAATGGCTACTGCTAGTTTTAACATTAAATTTGACCAACATTTTGTGGAGCGAGTTCTAAGGTCATGATTGCCACCAAACTTGCAGATATAAAACTAGAGAGCTCTAAGGTTATCTTGCTGAATTCAGGGGAAAATCTGTCGTGGGATTTCAGAGTTATTTATATGAGAAAATGTATAGAGAGATTAAGCATTGTGTTTAAGGCAAACGGCAAACATGAGATTCAAGTTGAGAAATTATTAGCCTGTGAACAGGCTCTCTGTTTGGGGAAAAATAGCGAGGAAAGGGAAGGGAAAGGGGGGGGAGAGAGCCTGTAGACAAATATTTGAGGCCGCTATTCCGCCCTCTTGTAATTATCCTGCCGATCATCTGTCAGTAAGATCGTTATCGGTCAATCAATTTCGCGCGTGAGTAACTCCTGGGAAAATTAACAGGAAATGAGTGGTGTTTTGCTCCCTCTGAAAACAGAGTGAAATGGAGCATGAACCTCATTGTTGATTTTGCAAAAAGTCGTTGATCTCCGGTAAGAGGATTTAAAACAAGCCGTTCGTCTTGCTAGTTCGGTTTGTAATTTAACAAGCCGCTGCAATGAGCGAACTTGGAATGCGGAAGGTACAGATACTATCATGACTTCTCCAGAACGTGAAGCTTCGAAGATAAGTACAAAGAGATCAGCAGCGCTTCGATCACCGACAAGAATTACATGGTAGGCCAACACGACTTTTACTTTATGCCAAAATGCTGCTTGTTCCCATAAGTTTTTTCCTCTGCGGGGTAGATTATTCTCTGGAAGGTTCTGCATTTTCACTGAGCAAATGTGATTTTAGCCGCTTGTTTCACAATGAGAGGTCATGGCACACATATCGATTTACTGTGGTTTTTTTTCTGGTCGACAGGATTTGCCCTCTGATGCAAGAGCATTTTCTTTTTTTGCGGCTGAATAAGGGTCTTACTTTTCTCCAAAGTGCCTTCTCGATCTGAGTAACTAAGCGATTTTCTTTAGTCCGTGAATGTAATGATTTTCTGCAATGTTGTATTCTGACGCTGGGCCCAGCTCGTCAGTGTTTAAAAATTATCGCGGATGGTTATTTACAGATCTAAAATTATAAGATTGAAATGCAGCTTAAACCGAAGCTACATCAGCTATGGAGAATTGCATTGTGCTTCGGTAACTATAAACTCCAGCTTAGTGTTTTTGTAAAGACAGTTTGAGTCTTTTGACCGGAGCGCGTAGTTCCTCCCCGTGGTAATAGTCTTTGGACTGTTTTGTTATTGCCACTCTGTGATCAAATCGCGTGCTACGTGCCGACCGAAAAGCCGATGTCAATCAGACCTGTCAACAGTCAGTGTTATCGCCAATAGGAGCTTGCATTAGGATCTGATGCACAGCGGGTGCCGTGGAACGGCGGCCCTAAAGGTCTGTCTACAGGCCTTTTCGCTTTTCCCTCTCCCCACCTCGCTCGACTAAAGGCCTGTTCACAGGCTAAGAAATTATCAAAATGAGAAATGAGCACATAAAAACATAGCCTGCTAGCAATATTAAGCTCTCCATTTGGGGATACCAAGAAAAGTTGACGTGCGAGAGGCACGCGAGAGTAGATGCGAAAGCGGGGGGTGGGGAAGAGAAAGGAGGGCTTGCAATGATCAGTCATAAATTTTCGTTTTCATCCCAGAAGCCCCGGGACACTGCAAAGTGAGAGATCACACCAAGGAACTGACAAAGTATCTTTGCTAAGTTCATATCCTTATGTTTCGTACCTCTCACTCTCGTCGTGTTTTATATCTTCGCAAATAAATTGTTGTGTTGTTTCTTTGTTACTCTCTTATGCGTCACGAGAACCCTCTGGAAATATTTCCCTGTGGTGCAGCCCCCTCCCCACTGGAAAGTTAGGCAAATTGACCCCCAACTCCCCCCTGGAAAATCGGATCCCTTCCATGGGGGTGGTATGGATATTTTCTGAAACCACACAATTTGACACACAGATGACAGTTATCTCTCACAGAAGGAGAGAGCGGTTTTCTTCCTCTGCCGGTCTTCTTTTTTGTTGTGAGATCAGCGATTGTCGACAT